GTGAACAGCTGGCCTATGCTGTCACTACGATAGACCCCTAGGTTAGGCAGACTATGTGCACACACTATATCCAGACACCAAAATCTATGATTCTCGCTGCAACAACCAATAAACACAATTGACAATCAAATATATGATTGATTTCCTATTACTGTTCGGAAAGAAAACCCAGAATAATAGAACTGATGCCCGACCCTCGCCGAGGGCGTGGGCCAGGGTCACAGCAACAGCCTCGCACCCAGCCCCAAGCTGGTGCCGGCTGACGACCACTCTGATCCTATGAAGCTGCTTTTCTATATAAAAGTGTCTTAATCCTTGAAATATTCTACACTAACCATTCCTTTGCATGATTTTAGGCCTCTAGAGGCCACACCAAAGCTCCATTGTAGTGCCTGTGCACTACAACCCAAATGCTGTTGCAGCCTTTGATGACGAAGACACTGTGAAACCCAGCGTAATCTCCGTCAAACCCCGTTTTCGAATCGCAAGGGTCAGCAAGAATCCGGATTTGAGAATGTTCAATGCCTTTCGATGCTGAGATTCCGGGCAACTGTGGACATATTCCTCGGCTGAAGGCCTCATGCTAGCGCAGCACTAAGGTTGGCCACCCTCTTTACTGTTGTGTTCAGGTCCCCACAACGTTCGCTAAAGCATTGTCAAGCAATTTATGCAAAACTTCTGTGCAAAGCGAAGGTGATATATATAATCGGCGCACTTTGCGTTTCGTCGGGTAGCACGCGAGATCGCTGTCGGCGGTGGGGAGCTTAGGGCGCTGTTGGTTGTTGAGCTTGGCGAAACCCACAACGGCGTGCGTATTAATTTTTGTTAACCAACTGCAGTCTTTTGACAACAGAGCCGTTGCTGCAATAGCTCCTTCTCATTCCTCCTGAAGGCAAGCACTTCTACTGTGTACATAACCACTAACTATGCTTAACCTGGAGCGATAATTGGATAGATGCGTTCGCTTGTCCAAAATACAGACAGGTGAGCTTCACTTTGCGCGCATGGGTGTTCACACACAGTCTTTTACCTGTGGTTCGATTTGAAGAGTGCTGGATCTGCAAACGGGCAAGTAAGGCGTCGAAACGGGGCATCGAAAGCTTTCGCTTCACCGCAGTTTCGTTGAGGGGCTTGAGCTCTATGCAGATACGCCACCTCCCATTCTTCTTCTCCGCCAACACCGGACTGTACCAAATTGATCTAGACGGTTGAGCATTGTCTTTTCATACATGTTCATCAGCTTGCAATTCGACTTCTCTTGCAAGATACAAGGGGTATCTGGTTGTGGGCCGCCTGCACATTTGCAAAAAGCTTTTGGCTGCGCTGGCAGTGAGCTCGATGCTGTAAATTGGGGGTTCGGAGTGTGGGCCGCTCGCTGGCTCTTAATATAATACATTAAGAATCCATCGGTGAAGGCTTCTTTCATTTGAAGCACGCGTTTCCTCCCCTTCTTATGCGTGGAAAACCTATCAACTGTAGCAGCACTTCGGCAGTCTGTCCCCCTATTCTAGTAACCACACTTCCGCTTACAGACAGATTTGCTTGTTCTTCGCAAACACGTTAACTGAGGCAGAGCCTCAGTTAATGATAGAGCCTCAGTTCATGTGTTTATGTCCCCTAAATCAGTATCAGGTCGTCAAAGCTGCCTACAGGCAGCTCCTTTCTGCTTTCCATGCAATTCAGCACATGGGCGACACCGTCTTGCTCCAATGCCACGTTTGCGCAGAGGCGGAAGTTCTGCAGTGTTCGCTGTGACCATGATCCGGATAGCTGCCGAAAGCCTTGGTAAGCCGGGCGTCTATATCCTCATGACGATGGCAGATAAGCTGCAGTATGCGAGTCAGGGATGAAACAGTGCCACTAGAGGCCTACGGCCTAGAAAGTGCGACCTCTAAATAGGCCGCCAATGCTTTTGTTTGCACTTCCATTTCCTAAGTTCGCGCATAATTTCCGTGCACTCTTAAAAATATGCATATGCAGGGTCTGCAGTTGTTCCAAGCGCCAAATTGCGCAGAACAGCCCCCGCTCATTGCAAGGGCTCGAAAAGGCCTGGTACTTGTTTCACTGCTGTTGCACCGACAGACTGAGAGCAGCTCACCACTAACGCCCAACGGTATGTACTTGCACTCGGGAGCATGGCGGTCAGGGGACAAAGAAACAGTAGCATCCGTGCGCATGCTTGCGTATATATTGCCCATCTTACCATGCGTTCATATCACGTTCCTGCGGCTCCCCAGAAGCCGCTGGTCTCTGCTGGGTATGAAATCAATAAAATGAAACAGGATAATTGCGTTCCACTTATTACAAATCCTACAGGAAGCGCCTGCCACATGAACCTCTGGCCGCCTTTCTGTACCCAGTGGCTTCGTGGGCATTTTTCTGTGGCTGATACGCAGCCCATATCAGATGCAGTAGGGCGAAGATGCCGAAAAGGCTGTAGCGCCAGGATCCACCCCGTCACAAAAATGATAAACGCCTTTTTCATGTCTCAGGAAACTCTACGGATCCTAAGCTCCACAAATGCAGCAGTACAATCAGCAGTTGAAGACGCAGCTAATTCACGTGAAGGTAATACGGGAAAGCCATCTCCGGCGAAGCCTTCATGAAGCCGCTGGCAGTTATCCGTTATAGATGGAACCAGACTGCGCCCTTTTTTCCTTTGTGATTGCGCTCCACTCCTCACCTTCGGAATGCTGACTGACACTCGGGCTGCGTGTATAGGCTCACTGCGAAACGTTGCTATTCAGAGTGTAAACCACTAACAGTGGAAGCATGGTCTGCTTTTGGCTCTACTGGCCGGCCTTGACTGTCGAGAGCCATCCTCCACCGCAGCAGATCACCTGATAAACGCGATGCAAAAATGGCCATGCCTCTCTTTACCGCCAACCCCCCAAACCCGCAACTTCACCATTCAAACTGATATAACTTAAGCTAATAATATTAATGTGACTGGGGTCCATCGACGCATTGTGCCCGCGGCATCCGTTAATTCGCACCGCTTCTAAATTTCTAGGAGGAATGGAAGAGACGGAGCACGTATAGGCTTGGAGTGGCAGCACATGATACAATAGACAGCACAGATGAATAAACAGAGAGGAGCACCCAATACGGAGAAGAGTACATATTGACTGGCAAGAATACGCATGAAGATACGGCCAGGAAAGTGTACCAGCACCTGATTGAGCAGACAAACGGCAAACTTCAGACCTACCCCTCATGAGCTTCCTCCTAACCACCTGGACGAGCTCGAAATGTCTATTTCTGAAGAAGCTGGCACTGCTGGCATTTAGTGAGTTAGCGAAAACTTCAATGGAACGACAGCGGCAGCTCGCAGCAAACCCCAATGCGCACGACAACAGTCGCGAGCCTACACCGGCACCCCGCGATCCAGGTGACACCACAAGGCGGACCTGAACAAAACAAGATGCGCACAACTGGCCCCAAAGATGCTTGCAAGCAGAAGGACAGAAACGCAGGCATACACAGGGAGAAAGACGCAAAACGTGCACGCTTCACGGACATTCCACCCCTAAACATGCACAATGACAGCCTGGTACCCTCTTCTTTCCCTCAAAGTAATATTTGCACGTAAATGCGGGGGTGAAAGGCAAGTGAAAAGACCCTCTTGTAAAGCCGCTTCTGTTGTCCAGAACCTCTGATGTGAATATACAGAAGGCCATTCCAAATCCAGCTACATCAGTGTGCATACTCCGCCTCTGTATCTTTGCGCCGTTTCCTCTCAAAATTTCCTTCCCTCTGCCAGCCTATCCAAGCCATATGCCTTCCTTGTGTTTCGATCTAAGGAGCCCCACTTGTCTGTGCCTTCACCACCACGCTACTCGCATCCGTCTGCAAATCATGGTTAGTGATTATACCCTGTGGCCTGTGAATCTGCCTTACCAGCTGTCCCTCCTGCGGACTGGACGGGTGAATGATAAGGCCAATGCAGCCAACGACTCGACTGCCAGTTGGTTGTTTCTTCTGCAGCAGCAAACGGCATAATTCATGAAAGCCCAAACGCTCAAAAAAAAACATTTTCAGTGGCATGCTCTCGCATTCGAAGTGCGCACTTGCACGCATAAAATGTATATTTAGAAGAACGCATGCATTTGCAAGAACGCAACTAAACCAAAGGGCTTAAGATCCTTGTCCACACAGCCATGCGGCCTGCACACGCACATGTATCCCCGCAAAGACCACCCAACATGCTGGAAACACGCGCGCCCACGAAATATTTACAAACGTATCCATCAGTAAGTCTGCCTTCACACTGTACAAATGCAAATACGTAAAAATGCCTGTGTATCCGCCAGCATTCCCACAGAGCGCCACAAATAAAAGAGCAGCTACGTTCGTCCGTCTCTCCTTTATGTTAAATACGGGAAGGGGAAACATGGTATCCGCCGGCTCCCAGTTTCGCCGTCTATGCATGCTTGGGGAGCAGTAGTAGACAGTCTCTAAAAGCAGCAGCACGGACATCTACCAGAAACATAGAAAAGCCACTGCTCTTCGGCAAAGGAGTAAGATAATACTACAAGATTACGTAAGCTGCGAGCCGAAGCGTTGTATGGCACACAGGCACAGTGGATCCGCACCTCTGCCACCCAGAATCTGTTGCGCTCCGCCTGCAGATAGTGACGATCGAAATCTGCGAGATCTGGGCAGCCCCTTGAGGCATACTGTTCCAATTCGAGAACGACACGAGCGAGAAGCAACAACAGAAAGCAGGAGAGACTCATCAACATTCTGTCCAGGGGCACAAAACAGCAGCAAATAATCAAGAAACTTCCAAAATCCTGCGCGTGCCGACATAGCCAATAGAACACAGCGGGAAGAATCAACGACCGTAAGTGAGACTTCATCAAGTCCCGCACTAGAGGAGCATCGCTTGAACAAGCCTCCCTCAACACAACATTCGCGCTTGTTGCCTCCTGGCGGGTAGAGTGACAGCTGCTGCTTCGCCGCCGCAGGCGCGGCTTTGTCTCAGAGTCAAGCTCCGTCTGCTGCTGCTTGTCATCTTCCTCCTCCTGCTGCTGTCCTTGCCTGCTCACAGAACGCCACAGCTGAGGTTCGCTCGCACAGGTGCTGAATCCGCGTCGGCCGTTGCCTTGCAAGACTTCTGGGTCCTCAGCACCGTTGCTGCTGTTGCCGTTGTTACTGGCGTTGTGAGAGCTCGCACTATCACCATTTTCTGCGTGGCTTCTTATGTCTGCCTCCTGATGCCCCGTCACGGGCCCCCCCTCATTGTTCGCAGGCATCGGAAGATTAAAAGAAGGTATGAACGGGGAGATCCCTGTCCTTTACCCTCTCTATCTCAGGTCAATGAGGTAGGAAGGAAAGACGAGCCGTATCCTCCACTTCATGCGTGGTTGTGGCGCAAACACTTGTGGCTTCAACGGCACATCGACAAGACACCCGGACTTCCAATGCACCTTGCAGAGGATTCTGTGGCAAGAGATCTTTGAGAAGGCGCTAAGTATGCAAGAGGCGATAGAAGAAATTAGCAAAACCCCGGCAAGCGGCCATCACTGCAGGTCGCATGAAGCTGACAGGCTGCGGCCGTTCAGGTGGCGTGTGACTTCACTAATGGGTAGAACAGGAGTCACTTGTGCTCCATAATCACTCAGACTCGAATGTGTATTCGTAAACAAATAAGACCTCTTAGGAGAACCATCCAGATGAACTGAGTTGCTAGCCTCTTTTGCTCATCAGCGTGCTGGGGGCTGCGCCTACCCCCATACCTACGCAGGAATAACCCTGAAAGCGTTAATTCGTTACTTTATCCATACCTTTTGTCGCTTGACGGTTTCTGTGCTTTTCCTTGGAAAAATTTCGTGCTATAGGTCATGGGTTACATTATGTAGGACGACATCCACGTCTGACATGTAAGAACTTCCGCTTGCTTCGCAACAGCATATATTGATAGAACCGAACGGTTCCAGCAAGTCATTGACTGTGAGTGCTTGAAGACAATACTTAATGGTACTTATTGTGGCCAGAGGGCAGCGTCTAGTGTCGTACCATACTCCATAAACACACAATGTAGGAGCCGTCATATTTCCACAGAAACTGCATACCCATGGCTCATAGTGTTTCTGCGTGCCAGGAATTCTCCTTAAGTAGGCTATTGATCATATTCGTTTACCGCTGTGGCACTGCAGCTTTTCTTCACCAAAGCATTGCGTCGCATGGGTGCTCGCCGCGTTGCTTGGCAAGGCTGTGTCGCGTTCCAACACAACAACTTTCGAGACTAATAGTCGTATTCCGTTTTTGCTCGGGGCTAGGTAAAAGCGAGCTAGCTAACAAGATGCCACTCGCCCACTGTCGCTGGTCATCTGTGTAGTGAGCGTCGTCGAGGCCCTTCACTTCGCAAAACGACCCTACGACAATTGTAGTGCCCCTTTGGCTGCTAACTTATCCACGGACAGTGCGCTACTGATATAGAGGGCTAATTGGCCATATTATTTCGGAAAGTACATCAGCATTCACTTCGCAAAAAGACTTTGCGACAATTGTAGTGTACGGCCCCTTTAACTGCCAATATACTACACTACAACTGCCGCTTGGCCATAGAGAGACCATGAGCCCCGATGCACTGGAATGAATTCAATCTAATAGGGGAAAATCTAAACAGAACTAAGAATTCAGAAGGAACGTCTGTACTCCCCTTGGCAAGCAGGTCTGTTCCGATTTAATACTTGTAAAGGCGATAAGACGCCCCACAAAAGTCCAAATCATCGCTGATGGTTTACAGCCTTCGTTACTCCGCCCAAAGTAGTTCTTGTCCATACAGGAGCAACAAACTCATTCCCGCCTCTTCTCCGGGCAAGGCGACTTCCCCTCCTAAGACAAGCGATCAACGACCACCCATCTACCCAACAAACGCATGCAAAGCCCTGCTTATATTGGAAAAAACCGGAAAAGGCAGAACCGTGCTGCGAGCTGTCGCAAAGAATATATGCTGGATAGAACATATGCCCCCAGTGGGGTAAAGTCCAACCCGTCACGCACGCGGATGAAACCCACGCAATACACAGCGGCTTACACATTTACCCGCCGGTGCATGTAATGCGTGCTACTGCACACAACGATTTTATATACCCGCTTATGTACGTAATCGGCTACCTACAACGATGTGAGGAAATGTTTATGCATTCCTTTAGGGTGCTGCCCTACTGAAAGTCCTTAGCTCCGAGTTCGGCGAACCCGCAAGCCACAACTGGAGGCGAACGTACACAAACACACACAAAAACGGGGTTAAATGCTTGCGCACTCCACCGTACCCCCTGCCAATTTCTCCATGTTACATGATGCTCCGCCAGCAGATTTGTTCGGTACGGCTTTTCTCCGTAAAGGTGACAACAGCTGCTTACATGCCAACCCAGCAATGGGCACTTCCCTTCGTCGCCTTCTGCTACGCTCAACGCAGCATCCACCTGTACTATGTCGTCTTCCTTTTCCACCTGAATTGTCCTCGCAAACAAGGAAGACCAAAGAGCATCTTCGACGATTTTGCTCAGGGCCGTACTCCCACCAAGCGCTGCAGCGCAGCTTCGTCACCAGAGGTGCGCACAACGAACCACTCGGGCTCGGGCTTTGGCGGGGGGCTGAAAGCGACGATAGCGGCCGTTCCGTTGTGTAGTGGTGTTGCCCAAATGGCAGTGCGGTGTAGCGACTGCGGCAAACACACAAGGGGAATCTCGAGCTGCAGCGTCTCTGTGCCCAGCGCCGATTGGGCTTCCACTCTAACTTGGGTAAGGGAGGCGAAAAGTCGTATATTGTCCGGCGTGGTGGTGAAATGGGCGACAAACACGCAGTGTCCCGCTGGCTGAAAGTTCGAGTCGGGCGGCAGCCCGGCTGCGAATGCCACGAGGTCGGCAGGCACTGCAGCCACGGACGAAGTGTATTCTGCTGGAACATCAGGGGGCACTATAATGACCGCCCCCACAACATAGCTGCCATCTCGCCTAATAACAGCCATCGCACGGGGGTCGCCGTGGAGCAACACGCATCCCTTTGGCACTGCCACCTTTACTTCGTAGCTCAACCGCATGCCCATCACTCGCTGGAACAGTACTATCGGCGAACCTAGCTTTGAGGTGTAACGCGGGGAGCTGGTAGCGATGATGCGCAACAATTGGGAATGAGCATTGCCCGTAACGTTGACGCCCCCAGACTTAAGATTATCGCTAAAGCCGTTGGTCATCTGCGATGCAGACACTCGTACGGCGCAATTTTTTATGGCTTCCTCGCTCGGCTCGCTCAATGAATGAACGCTTGAGGGGAAACGAGGGACCTTGTATACCCCATTGCAACTCGGAAAGAACCCAACTGGCACGCTCGTATCGGAAACACAGGGAGCTGTCAGCACGTCGCCTGACTCGGGCGTATGCAAAGTCAGTCCTGCAGCCAATGCGTTCCGAGACTCCCTGCTACTAGGTGGACCCCAGCCGCCTATTCCAGCTACTCCCGCCCCTAACACACCTGCTGCTGGATTGTTGGGAATGCCCCCAGGAAACGACAAAAATCCAGATGCAATTCCTGGTCCTGGTCCTGCTGCTGGTGGTGCTGCAGAAGCCTGCGGCTGGAATGGCGGCCACCCGACTACAGGGTTGGGGGCCCCTCCAAAGGAAGGGAAAAGCGAAGGGAAATGTCCGGGGACCCCCTGCAGCGGAAGTACACCCTGACTAACTCCTAGTGCTCCTGCTGCTGCTGCTCCAGCTTCTGCCTCTTCGGATGGAGGCGGAATATCCTCATACGCTGCCACGGTAGCTGGTGGTACTGCAGGAGGAGGGGGAGCTGACTGTCTCTGTTGGTGGTCTCCCATGCTGCCTGTGAGGTCATTGAAAGCTGCATCCACGCCACCCTTCCGCTGAACAAGAATAAAAGCGCCGAGGATGGCGCAGCTGGCGTTTCGTAGAAGCCCTCGAGCGCGCAGTCCGCTCATCGTACCGTTCCCGTTCGTTTCGGCTTAAAAATGAGTCAGTAGGTCCTTACTAATGATTAGAGTTCAGTTAAATGAAGGACAGAGACGCTTCTCCATGACAAAAATGAGGATGTCGTGCAGAAGTAACACGAGGTAGACGACGAGCAAGCCACATGGACACGAAGCTGCTGCCCACAATGGCATACGAGCGAGGGAGAAGCCGTCCCCAGCTCTCCTTCAATCGAAGGGTGGCTGCAGCAAATAGATCAATCTGGCCAATGAATATAAATGCAAATAAATTAAGAACAAGTGCCGCATACACACTGAAATTGCTGAATGACAATGGTTTTGTCTGAGCTGGTACTACACGTAAGGGGCATAACCGTCTACGGTCAGCCAGCGACGGGGTTGAGGCGTACCCAGTGCTTCGTCACTTCTGTCTTCCCTAGTGAGTGCACTTTTGCTTTATATTATTATTATCCATTTTCCCCTCACACGGCATACGACTGGTAAACTACATCACGTGTTGGAGGCAACCTGTCAGAGCCCCATCGGCTCGCAGAGAAGGTTCGAGTGCAACCCACCAGTACGACAAATACAAACAGCACTCTAAACAAAACAATTGGTAAAACTAGCTGTTTGGGATATTTGTGGGTGTAGTTGAGCAAAGAACATTGGATGTAATGCTGCCAAGCACACGAGGCACGTGCACCTTGGTCTGTCTTAAGTTTGTACGTGTAGTTCCTTATGCGTGCAGGCTGGCTATTGGGGGCAAAGTACGTGATTAACAATTCTCTACAGTTTTAGTGCACGCAGAAAAAGTTGCTTGGTCGTTTTTGGGTGTGGGGTGGCCTTGCACCATGAGTTGCAGTGTGTTACGTATTAGCATGGCCTGTGGTAAGTTGGTTTACGCAACTCTGCAGTCTTAGGCGCCAAGTAAGCGTTCAACAATTTTATACAATGCAACTACATGCAGGAAAGGGGGTTTTGCCCTGCTTACATGTGGAGAGGCCTTGCACCACTGCACCACTAGTGCAGTGGGTTGCGCGTAGCGTGGCCTTTGGGATGTTAGTACTCCACATGCCTGCAGACTAACTATTGGATGCCAAACGAACGACCAACAATTATATACAGTGTACTTGAATGCAGCAAAGTGGGGCTTGCTTGCATGTTGGGGTTGCCGTGCAGGACTCGTTGCAGCAAGGTGAGTTAAAACTCATATCAGGCCGCTTCCTCTCTCACCAGTCCCGTTCCCTTGGGCTGTCTAGCTTAGGGCACTTGGGGACTGGACGGGAGGTCAGCTGCTGTTTGGGAACTCTTATACTTACTGCAGCTCACGGCGGTCCTCTACAACGGTCGCGGACCCCCGCTACATGTGGTAGCAATGCATGGCTTGGTGGGGAGGGTGTGAACAACGAACACCGTCGCCACAGCAGGGCACCTTTCTGCATGAGGGCAATTAGTATCGAGTGCCTTTTTAGAAACTATAGGCCACAAAATCTTGGACACTCTCCAAAATTCGTCAATTCCTCAGACCTTGCTCTGCTCTCTCATGCCAATGGGTGAGGACCTCCCCAACTCTGGGAAATCGACCAACGGATGAGCGTTGAAACAAGCGAAGTATGTAAATTTCTTCCAGCGGATAATATTCCTATACTCTAGACGACTCGTGAAGAATGCCGCCGCCTTTGCCGACCGTCCAGATAGGACAAGGGCAGTTATACGCGCGCAGTGGTGGAGTTCCTTGCTATTCTCGAGTTGCACTTTTGTTTTCAGGATGCATTCAAAGTGCTACAGTTGCTATTAGCTTTGTCTGTATGAAGAAGGCACGACATTGGTAGTTACGTCTAAGCAATACCGCTTCGGCACATACGGATTAGGGAGGCCTTCTCCGATGCGTTGCAATGCAGGCTTCTCCCCAGGTTATCAGGGGGATGAGCCGTGGCAGAACTGAGATGCACTCAGGGAACGTTCTTCAGTGATCTCTGCATCAAGAAGAATGGGTCCTTGGTGAACAGAAGTCCAACGTTGGACTCGGAGCTTCTATATCAACGGTTCATAACAGGGCTCTACTCGGGCGAGGGAAAAAAGGTAAACCGAAAGGCTATAGAGAGGTAGGCAAGGGACGAAAGGGAGGTGCTTGCCGAATTGTTGAAATACAAAAGTATCATGAAACAAATAAGGCCTCTTCCCCCCCGTTAGCTGAGCCGGTTTGGAAGTGAGCCCGTTATAGTAAGCCTACTGATATTGGGGGTGCGGATTCAAGCCTCGCTAAGAAGAATAATTGGCGAAGAGTACAGAGGGCAACCAGAGAATCAGGCACTCGGAAATGAGCAGGAAAGTTGTTGTGAAAGCTGGCCTACACTGTTACTACGAGAGATCCCTAGGTTAGACAGAATAGGTGCACACGCTACTATAGCGCTCTTAAACCTATGATTCTCGCTGAAACCGCTAATAAACACCGTTAGCAACCAAATGTATGATCGAATTCCTATTATTGTTCCCCCAAGGAAAACCCAGAATAATAGAACTGATGCCCGACCCTCGCCGAGGGCGTGGGCCAGGGTCACAGCAACGGCCTCGCGCCCAGCCCCAAGCT